TGTCCTCCACATGCTTAGTGAGGACCTCCAGGAGGAGCTGTTCCATCACCTTTCCAGGGATGGAGGTGAGGCTGACAGGCCTGGAGTTTCCTGGCTCCTCCTTCTTGCCCTTTTGGAAGACGGGGGGGACATTGGCTCTCTTCCAGTCCTTTGGGCACCTCTCCTGATCTCCAGGACCTTTCCAAGATGATGGAGAGTGCCTAGCGATAACATCCACCAGCTCCCTCAGCACTCGGGGGTGCATCCCATCAGGGCTCACGGATTCATGGATGTCAAGTTTGGACAAAAGATCTCTAACCTGATCCTCCTCAACCAAGGGAGAGTCTTCCTTTCTCCAGACTTCCTCTCTTGTCCCCAGGGTCTGGAATTCCTGAGGACTGGCCTTAGCAGTGAAGACTGAAGCAAAGAAGGCATTCAATAACTCTGCCTTCTCTGCATCCTTCGTCCTGCTCTAGTTCTGTACACTGTACACTTCCTTCTTCTGCTGGAGTTTTGCCAGGAGTTCCTTGCTCATCCAGGCAGGTCTCCTGCCCGCTTTGCTCGACTTCTTCCTCAGAGGGATGCACTGATCTTGAGCCTGGAGGAAGTGATGCTTGAATATTAACCAGCTTTCTTGGACCCCTCTTCCTTCTAGGGCCCTACCCCATGAGATTCCCCTAAGTAGGTCCCTCAAGAGGCCAAAGTCAGCTCTCCTCAAGTCCAGCGTTGCAATCCTACTTATTGCCCTGCTCCCTTCTCGGAGGATCCTGAACTCCACCATCTCATGGTCACTGCAGCCAAGGCTGCCCCCAACCTTCATGTCTCCAACTAGACCTTCTTTGTTTGTTAGGACAAGGTCCAGCATTGCACCTCTCCTCGTTGGCAAGTCGTAATGAATTTCTCTTCCAAAACTTCATCTCCTCTTGAACCAAAGTAAACTTTTTACATCCACAACATCCCATGGCAAGGGCTGTCATAGCTCTGCTATCTGTCGCACAAAGAATCACATTTTGTTTCTTCTGAACCTGGCTCTTATGACCTTCGTGTAACACCCCAGCTCTTGCATTTGAAGAGAGTGAAGTTCCTTCTCACCCTCTCCACGCCACTTGCAGTTTCCTCTCTATCCTGGCCCCTCTTAGGCATCCTGTTTCCAGGTGGAAGAATCTAGTCTGGTTGGTTCTTCCTTGCATGGCAGGTGGTCCAGACCTTTGGCCTCCCTACTGAGAAGCCTCTGTCTTTCTCAGAATTTCTTCCAGCTCTCCTTTTGGAGACTAAGCGACCTGTGTTCCAAGTGCTGATGTATCAAAGACTTTATAGCAGCATGTTTTCCATTTTCTTCTCCTTTCCCAAATCCTCCCTAATGTCTCAATAACCACTCCCAAATCTCACTCCTGAGTGGTAATGGTCAATGGTCAGAGCCTGTCATTTGACACTAAGTTCTCCCATGTGCATAACTTCACTTTTATCCACACAGAATCTACTTCCTTACTTGGAGGAGACTTTGATAGCCTCCTGTCCAACTCAGAAAGGAGTAGAAAAAGCAAGCAGGGAACCTGATTTGTCCCTAACTAACATCATTGCTCATTCACCTTTTGAGCCCATTAAGAAACACAGGACTGGCACAGAACTGTAGCTCTCCCTTTGGTCACCTTTCACCAGGATGAGAACAGGTAATTCAATCCTCCCTTTTTGCATTCCTTCTTGACATTGCTATTGGCACGCAACGAGACTTTGGCAGTAACTTAAGGTACAGCTCCATGTGTGCTTAAAGGCAGTCTGAACTGCCACCAAAGGGGTAGCTCCAACCACATGCTCCTATTGCTTCTGTGGGGCCAGCCCTAGTGCTCAGTGACTGCACAGTCAATTGAATCAATGAGCCAGCTGAAACACAGTAATCCTTTGTAGCATTTCAAGTCAGATCAACTCCTTTGATTCAATCTCATAAGATTTGACTCTTAACAAAAACACTATAGGCAGTAACAGCACAACCACAATAGCATGGCCTCAGTCAGTCCTGTAGGAAGGCATTACCCTCTAGTGATATAAAGGCACCAATGTGGGGCGCTGGCAGAACGAGTAGGAAAACCTACTACTGAAATAACTTCTTTGGAAAAAAATCTGCATATCCTCAACTATATACTTTCTGGCAGGGCCTCATGTGGGGCTGACCTTTTTGCTGACCTTCTCCCCCTGATCAAACCTTCGCAGATCATGAGCTATCCCAGGTGCTTTATTCTTTTTAAATGATCTTTTCAACCAATTAACCACATCTGACTGATCTGTAATTCTCTGCCTCACTCAGAGAGCCTTTTTAAAACGCAACCTGAAGCAGACTGTAGGCATGGAAAATTTCAGCTTGGATTGTTTGCTTGGCAGAGCTATAAGCAACTGAAACCAGATGGTTGGAGCAGGAAGAATGAGAAAACCTCCTGCTCAAGAGCTGCAGCTGGCTCTCGTTGCCATGGTGCTGCAGGGAGGGCCAGGAACAGGTTTTGCAGTGCTCAGGGCTGTGGAAGAGTCATCTCTGGTATAAGGTAGCATTAGGGCAGATGTCAGTGGCCTGCATCATCTCCTGCCACATGTAGCAGACTCTGCACAAGGTGGGCTCTACTCTACTCACTCATACCAGTGTGAAGCCTTCCCACAGCAATCCTGAGCTTCTGCATTACCTGTTCCTGCCAACAGGTAACTGAGCTTTTCCAGCCAAGCTGTAGGTTCTGCCAGCTCCTGCAAACTCCTACTGAAGTGTTTGCTCCAGCAGTGCCAGAATGCTTGTGTCAAAGAACAGAGGGTCCTTTTGGGAGGCAGCAGTACTCCTCTAACATCCATGCACTTAGTCTCCTTTTCTGTAATAGGACCCATATTTAATACCTACTCTCCTCATTGACACTAGGCAACTGAGGAAGCGATTTCCTTACTAAGAACTCTGGCCACACACAGAGGAATACAAACCCTTTCTTTATCTGGTCAGCTTCAGAGAATACTTTGTTTCAGTAAGTGTTCTCAGAGGCAGAGTTCAGATGTCTCCAAAGCAGAAACAGCTGTCCAGGAACTCTACTCCACCCCTCAATATTTTAGCGGTCAAGTGCAGGGCTCCTAGGATCCTAGCTGAGGGTCAAGTGCCCACAGAGTAGGATCTCCTGCAATGGTGCAAGTGCCACTTCATCCCGCTTTCCAGTTGGGAATTTTCCTCAGGGTGGAAAGACTTCACAAGAGATACACCTTTTGTCTCCAGCTATTGAACTGCAGTAGCATGTTCCAGTGAGGGGAAAGTGGTGATGGAATCAGGAGTTAGTCTCAGTTCTGGATTTACAAAAGCCTCTTTGCTCCTGCTAGTGCTATAGAAAATTAGCTTCAGTGCATTTCTCTACAGCAGTGGGCAACTCCTCCTCCACCACCACCTCTCCTTACTAAAAGGCCACTCACCAATTCTCCCAACACCTTTGCAGGTTTCCTTGTTTTAGTTGGCAGAGGCCCCAATTCAGTGAAAAGCTCTATAGCTTCAGTTATTTGCTTTCATAGGAACACAAGGATGTACACTAGCTTCAATAAGGAGCAGTGACCCATCTCCCAGTTTCAGTAATTAGCAGCATACTGAATCTTCTAATACTACTTTTGCTGTAAAAAAATAAAAGATGGTTACATCAATAGCAGAGGAAACAGGCAAGGGCAAACAGTAATGTGCAAGAGATGTCTCCCAAGTATAATCCTTGCTTTGAGAATGTCAGAGAACCTTTAAACAGTGACCTGGGTGTAATCAAAGCCCTACAACACACCAGGTTAAAAGCTAAAGTCTTTCATCCAACCCCAACAGCTGCTCAGATTTGAGGACACACTTATGCATGAAAAAAATAAATTGCCTGCAGACTCTTCCTTGTACCATCCTAAGAGCAGGCTATATGTCAGGCACATTACCTGACACCAACACATTTCTTACACATCTGCAGCAATCTCTTTTTACAAGGAAGCAGCGCATACTCTGATTCCTTTCCTGCACTGAGTCTCAGAAAGGAACAACGGACTGAGGCTGCTGGCTGTTAAGGCTGTAAGCTCCACCATGAAAGCTCTTAGAAACATCTCAAGCCTACCAGTCTTATTTTAGTGCACCTGTCAAACCCATACTCATCAAGCAGGCATGGAAGAACGAGAAGCGTGATCACTGACATTTAGAAAGCCGCAGTCTCAGAAGGCTGAACAGAGTGTTTTATTTCTCTCCATTTGGAAATTGTCTTAAAGGAACAAAGCAAATGCTCTCAGCCTTCTCTGCTATCCCACTCAGGTAAAAATACCCTGAATATCATAGCCCAAAGCAGGTGGACAGAGGCCTGAATTCCTCTTTTATTAAAACTCAGAGGAGAAGCCTATACTGTTTTCTGCCTAAAGGTCTCTTTGGGAAGGGTCTGCCTGTTTGAAGAGACAATTTCTGCCTCACCATACACACAAGCATCTTCTTCTAGATAAACCTTGGAGATTTTTTTCAGCTGCCAACTGCCATACTCAGCCTGCCCCAGAAGGCAAATCCACTTTGCTTCCTGTCTGATATGGCTGTTATTCCCCAAACGGTACTGCTCACAAATTCTGTTTGATTCACCTACACATACAGAGGTCATCGATATAGGGCTGGCTGGGTTTCCTGACTCAGTGTATGGCCTAGTCTCCTTTGGCTTTGTAAATCCCTTGCTAACATTGCAGACCATACGCAGTAAATTAATGCCTTCTGTCATCTCTTGCCTCACAGACACGCTTCAAGCGAAAGGAGCTGCTACTTCCAGACCTGTTGGCATACCATTCATATGTCACATCACCTCAGAGTCTGCACTCTGGGGATGGAAGAGATCACGCTGTTCACTAAAGAACCATCTTAGGAACACCCATGAATTACTAATTCCGATTGACTCTCTGAATGAAGGTAAATGGGAATTCCTCAACAGCTACAATCAGCAGCAACACAGCAGGACTTGCAACATGCATCTTGCTCTGAGGACTGGAAAGGCAGTCTGATGCTCTCCAACTACCCCCTCTGCTCTGGGGGTCCACTTCCCCCATTCTCTAAAGGTTATCTATGGGCCTCAGCTAACTCTTCTACACTTCATGGCTAGTAGCGTCTGCCTTATGTACCACAGAGCAAATGTGTTAAACAGTCTATTTTTCAGAGGGAAGTCAGAAGAAAACTCTGGAAAGAAAAACAGCAGATTTGCTTGTTCAGGAAAAAGCCTTCTCTGACTGGGATTCTTTCTGCTGCAACTTCCGAATCAGTTCCAGTAAGTTCATCTGTAACGTCAGCTCCTGTAAAGGAAGAAAGACATTTTTGCAAGAACAAGATGATCCCACTCTCTTCTGCAGAAAGGACTGTTTTGTACCAGCCACTCAAGAGCTAGTAATCTCAAAACAAAGGCTTGATCTAGTTTAAGCATTTCTACAAAATGCAGGTTAATAATATCTTACAAGATCTGCTGAACATCATAGTTGTATTATCCAAGGGCTTTAGAAATCATTGATGATTCAAAAAAGGTTCTTTCTTCTTGATAGTTACTTCGCTATAAGTCCAGTGAGGGATATCAGGCCAGTCAGTTTTGCAGGTTTTTTCTTTTTAACCACACAGCCTCCACAGGATTGGAGCAGCAGTGTCCCATTACACATACCCACGCCGCACACATTGGAGCAATTTCTCCAAATAGGCACAGTTCCCTCCCATTGTTCTCTAACAGCATCTTCAATGTCCTGATTTTGTTCCAGGATAGAAGAAAAGCAAGCAGAAGAATCACTGTGGGTGCTCTCCAATTGTAGTCTGCTGTCCTGGTATATAAGATTCTCCCTAGGTATTTCATTCTCCTTCAAATAGTCCCTTTCCCATGACTGCACTTGAGTTGATATCACTGTCTCCTATATTCACCATCAACGTACTATTTCCTTGTGCTCTCCTTACCCATCTGTTTGTTCTTTACTCATGTTTTGATTACAAACCATTTAGGACAGACTGTATTTTGCCCTGCCTATGTGGGAGTACCTAATGCAGTGGACCCTGTCCTGTGACTCAGACTTGTAGACGTTCTCTTATGGAAACGAAATCCACTCTTGTAAAAATATAAAAACTGCATTAAGTAGGCATTTCATGCAGCAAACTGTGGACATCACATAGGCTGATGGGAAACGTAGGGAAAACAGCTGGGTCTAGCAATAATTTCTTGTGTTATGCCAGTATTCATCAACATAAGACAAAGTTTCAGTCCTATTTTCCATCTATCATAAAAGCAAGCAAATAAAAAATAGCAAATAGGAACCCTGTTAGAGTTATTTGGAAACAATATAAAAGGCAGAGAGGACAGAAAAGCTACTTTCATTATACAGATGAGGAACAGCAGCATAGCAAAAATAGGGGGCTTGTCCAAGGCTACACAATAAGGAATCTCTTTGGAAGGTCTTTATCAAAATGAAATCTAATCAGTTGACAACAAAGAAAAAGAGTTAAAAATAGTCTGTTTTTGCACTCTCTGCAAACTTCTGTGGCATTATGATGAGATTTTTGGAAGCTTATTTTTGCATTCCTGTGATGGTGTTAGAAGACAGAAAAAAACCACTTTATTTTTGCTCTCAAGTGTTAAGAATAGATGCACTGGAGAAACCAAGAACAAGTCTCTAATCACAATCCAATATAATCATCTCCAACAAGAAACATGTAAGAATTAAATGAGATTAAAAAAAAAAGACTTACTGAAGGCAATTTGTAGAAGTAACTTAAGTGATAAACCCACTCTCATCTATTCATTTTAGTATTATACACATACACCCAAGAGTCACAGAACTGCAGGCTCTTAGCATAGCCTTTCTTCCCACCACAGTGTGAAAAAGCTGCTGGGGTTGTTGTACTCTCTAGTGGGTTTCTGCTGCTTATTTATGAACCTGCTACCACATCAAAGCAGGGCACACTGCACATCAACTAATGAGGAGGAGGACTAATCACTTTCTGAGCCAGCTATTCAGAGTTCACTAGGAAAGGAGGAGATTTAAAAAAAAAAAAAAAAAAGATGTTAGCACAATAGCACTGTCAGATCCAATACTCACTGCTTATACACTAACCTGGGGGTTTGTGGTGATGTAGAACCCAGACACCCCAGCCTTTTCCAGGGTGCTCTGTTGGTCTATCACTTTTTGGTCCAGTTCCAAGACTATTTTCTCATCCATCATTCGCTGTTCCTCTCGAATTCGTTGTTCCACAGCCTGAAAAGAACATAATATTTAAGATACTATTCTGTTTTTCAACAGAAAAAGTGGAATATCCTCCTGCCTACTATTGTTTTCCTCATCTCTAAGTCCTTTACTGAAGCCCAAAAGCTAGATCCTAAAGTGCTCAAACTCTGACAACTTTGCTTCCTCCAAAGACAGCAGAGGGCAGCAAGCACAGCCCCATACCTTACATTGTCCAGTTATGGCACTCACCATTCCTTACTGCAAATTACTACTCAAAAAAGGACAGGGGAAGTAGCTTGGAACAGTCTGCTGCAATTACCAGAACAATTAATACAGCCTGGTTTCTGTGCATTTTTGAGTTATACACAGGAAAGCGGCCATATGAAACAGAGCAGTCTGAGTGACTTACCCTGATGAGCCACTATCTCACCAGCAGGCTGTAGTTGAGTATTCCAGCAGTACATGCTCTAAAGAAGTCAGTAGTCCAAAAATCGCATATCCCTCATAACACTGGAGAAGCTAAAGACAGACTCATACAAGCATATATGGGCCACTGAAGCTCACTGCAATGCCAACTCAAGTGCCTCCTAAAGCTTCCATGTTCTCTCAGCACTAACACGCAAAGACAGCTAGACCTACTCCCAGTTTATCCACTAAGCTAAACTCCTATAACTGCCAACTTTACAAAAGAAAATCAATTTCTTTTGCCTAGTGCTGACAATAGTAAACTAAGTCTTGCTTGGAATTGCAGCAAGCTGGAACTCTATTAATAGGAGGCTGAGAACGTTATCATATAGGACTGTGTCAGGAAGTCCTTATCAGGAGAACAACACTGGCCTCCCTGCCTTGTAAACACTTACCTAGGCCTTGCAGAAAAATACTTTACCTCAGAAGAAGAAATGGAGATCAGAGCACGATAAAGGTATAGTCTAGCTGCCTGAGCAAGGGATAGCAGAGCTGGAACTCACTTGGACACAGACACATTGTGTAACTGGCCTGATGCAAGCAATCTCTTTTACTTCTCTCTATAACACAGGGCAACTTACTTGCTTACTTACTTGCTACTTCAAAGACACACTGGAAATTGAGTGTTTCGGGCATGCGCTAAAAGCAATATTGCTAGCTGCAGAAAGGCGCACTGCGTATCAGTGACAGAGATAACGTCAACTTACAATGCTATAAAACTCTGCCAGACTGCAGAGAGGGAAAGACAATGTGAAAGGGCTGCCTGGGACAAGGAGAGCCCACCTTAGACAGAAAGCTGCATATATGGGGAGGTAAGATCACACCAATATGAAATCACACACTTCTGCACTGAACAACAGAATTCCTTTACAAGCCTCAGGGAAAGTCAAGAAACATCAAATCCAATCTAAATACAAAGGAAGGCTCCTTCCCATGTAGGAATTAAATGACACAAGTTTAAACACATTATTCACACAAAACTGTCCCTTCAAAACATGGCAAACAACGGGAAGTGTTTAGCTGGAAATATTCAAAGGGGTAAGTTAGCCTCATTGCACAGAAAGGGATTTACACCAATGGCTGGTAGTTTGGAGGACTTAGACAGATCCTCTATAAGGGACATTGAAAACACTGTGCACAGTTTTTAAATCCTGTGGAAAAGTTAGAGTTTGAATGATGTAGGTCTCAGTCCTAAATGGTCTGGAAAAAAGCTGAGGTTTCTCTACAACATAAAAGTATCAGAGGCTATATGAAAAAGGCCCGGCCTAAACAAAGAAAAATTATTGTTTACATGCAGAAAACGCTACCTCATGTATCCTTTCTTGAAGGTACTGCAGTGTCTTAAAGTTTTAATTATTTCCACAGATTTGGGAAAGCTAACTTAAGCTTCACAAAACATACTTGATTAAAGAGTGTATTATGCTTTTCCTACTGTATAGCAATGTGCTTATGGACTAAGACATTATGAGAAAGACACCAATAAGTATGCAAAGTCCTAACTGTTAAAAGCTAAATGACTAGGAGGATGCAGCACTCTGATACATCAGAAAATTACCATACTTCATCCTCTGCACAGCAAACACCTAGGGACATGCTCTTATTAGAATAAATATGAAATAATTCAAGACAGCTTAAACCTCAATAAAACATAAGGTGGAGGGGCTAATTGTCTCATATTTATAAGATGCTACAGAATATGAATAGAGTGACAGACAATTAATTATTTGTGTCAAAGGCCAGAAGCAATAAAATCCCTTTGTAAGTGCCTCTGGTTTTCAAAAACACCCAAATGCCTTAACATCAGAATTCCTCTAGTGCCTATTATTAACTAGTAAAATTCTGCAGATGCCTGAATTTGTGGCTGCAGCATAGGTGCAATCACCTGTGTCTTGACAATAGCAAGCAGGAATAGCATTCTCACTCCTGCCTAAGCCTTGACAACATTCAGCCCTTTACAGTAAGTACTAATAGGATCAGGGTTTGGAATGAACCCTCCATGCTCAGCTAAAATGTCTCCTCGTTAGAGGAAATTCACTCTTGCTTGCTTTCTTTTCTAATACATATTTAAATTGTCATGTAAACTGGAAGAGTTCCAATAAGAAATACCAAGAAGAGAACAGAAGGAGAAACTTTTTCATGACAAAGACAATCAAACAGTAGGACAGATTGCCCAGAGGTTGTGCAGTCTCCATTCTTTGGGATTTTAAAGGCTTAAGTAGACAAGGCCATGAGTAACCTGGTCTGACCTCACAGCTGACTGCTTTGAGCAAAAGGAGTTTGATCAGAGGCCTCCTGAGGTCCCTTCCAACACAAATTATCCTATGAACCTAACAAAACTCTATCCTTAGACCAAGAGCCTGAACCTCTAGACTGGAAAAATTCTACAGAAGAAATGAAGGATTCAAATCCTTTGACTCCCACATTCCTCAAAGACTTTCCTACCTCCTGCCTGACTTGGGGGACAGAGGAGGTACCACACCATCTCCTCTTCCACTTACTGTTCTAGAGGAGTGACTTTCCTGTCCTTGGTTTTTTTTTTTTTTTTTAAACAGATTGTAGTGTCTAAATATAGTTTAGGATAGGCCTCCTTTTCTGAGCTACTGGAAAATGCCCAAATCTTGGAGAAAAACAAAGCTTAAACACAAGCTTTTGCTTCAGCTCAGATGACTGGCTACCCACTCTGCTGGGCCAAGCTCTTTTAGTACAGCAGATTCCATTAGGAAGTTGGACATCTAAAAAATACATACTATATTATCCCTCCTGTGAGTCCAGTCCCAAGCTATCTTGTGGAAACTGGTCTTCCAAACCTTTAACCACAGAGAGCAGCTCTGATTAGACAAGTAACAGCTGTTAATAAGATGACTAATCTATTCCCAAAATGCTGTATAACAGAAATATTAGAATGTAAGAAAGGGACAAAAAAGTAACCATAGTAACACCTGACAGAGGACAACAGAACACAAAAAAAAGCATTAGGAAGGTAAAAGGAAGCAAGTAAAAAGTTATACATGATACAATACAAGGAAAAATAGATGGACATTTATGGGTATGCTCATCATCTCTTTTTAATAAAGTCTATTTAATGAGTGAAAACAACATTGGAAATGTCATAGGACAGCTAGTATAGATTATTACTTATTACGATACTGCAAGTGTAGAGTATTTAGACACAGAAGTGAAAGGTATAGATAATATAGGCCCAGCCTGACTTTGGTCATCTTAATAGGAAATGAGGTAAGTGGAAAACACTAACACAAAATACCTAGAAATGATTCTAACCCAGTGCTTCACATGAGCAAAGGTCAGGGAACAGCCTGTATTCAAAAAGTTGTACGTGTAAAATTATATATGTGTGAAATTACTTTATTCTATATATTTAAATTACATTGATGAAGATGACTAGCTACTTGTAATTTCTCTTACCTTATAAAGTTACATTATCTATACATTTGTCACAAGATAAAGAGACGATATTCCTCTGGGACTGAACCTGCCACTCACGGTGAAGTTCCTTTCTACAAATGCCTTGAGGTGCTCTAAGAAACAATACCTTAGTTTAGGTATTTTAGGTTATTTCTTCCTTATTAGTGCAAAAGTAAAACTTGAGTTTTGAATATTCTCTGCCTTCTCATATTAGCCGCATAATGGTAAATTTTACACATGTTCTTCATGTTTTGTATTACATTGCTCTCCATCCACATACAGGCTTAAGCCTACAATATAACATATAAAGACTCCTTAACGTACTGCCGAGAGGACTAGGTGCTTCTGGAGTAGGCTCCTTGAACATTTGCAATTCCCAGATCGTGTCTGGACCCTAACTGCCACAGGATGGCAACAGTCTAGGGCAATCACTGCGGGTGTCAGAGGGGACAAGGATCCGTAAAAAGAGCAGAGAGACAGAAAACGTACCCATCCAGTTGCAGTGCCTAGCAGGCAGCCCTGCTGGCAGCCCACAAAGCCACAGGGAGGGCTAATTACACCTTCCAGAGGTGCTAGAGCTCACAGTGCCCCTCAAGCAGGCCGGCTTCAACCCTGGGACAGGCAGGACAAGCCTCACAGTGAAAGGGCAGCAAGCTCCAGGGAGGGGAATCCCTGCAGCTGGGCAAAAGGCTCCAAGGCGACGGATGGGTCCAGCCCGGCCTCGACCCCTTTACCTCCATCTCCCGCTGCTGGGCTGCACGGAGGAGCGGCAGGTTGTGCGGCCTGCAGCACTGCTGGGCCTCCTTGTGCCGGTGGAAGAGCTCCTGCTTGAGCCCTGCGCCGAGGGAAGGGTCAGCGGCAGAGCTCCACACCCCCGCGCGCCCGCTCCCCTTCCCGGCCCCCCCCGTCCCCTCGCCCGCT